AGCCAGACTTGTGTTACAAACCAGCCAGACTTGTGTTACAAACCAGCCAGACTTGTGTTACAAACCAGACTTGTGTTACAAACCAGACTTGTGTTACAAACCAGCCAGACTTGTGTTACAAACCAGCCAGACTTGTGTTACAAACCAGCCAGACTTGTGTTACAAACCAGCCAGACTTGTGTTACAAACCAGCCAGACTTGTGTTACAAACCAGACTTGTGTTACAAACCAGACTTGTGTTACAAACCAGCCAGACTTGTGTTACAAACCAGCCAGACTTGTGTTACAAACCAGCCAGACTTGTGTTACAAACCAGCCAGCCAGACTTGTGTTACAAACCAGACTTGTGTTACAAGTCATTGATTTTAAAAAAAATTCCTCTCTACCATTTACACAAAAAAAAATAGTAACCCACAGAACAAAATATTATTAAAGTCCTGTTGTTCTAATTTCCTATCCACAGGCCTTTAGAGTCCTGTTCTAATTTCCTATCCACAGGCCTTTAGAGTCCTGTTGTTCTAATTATCCACAGGCCTTTAGAGTCCTGTTGTTCAAATTATCCACAGGCCTTTAGAGTCCTGTTGTTCTAATTTCCTATCCATAGGCCTGTATAGTCATTGTTGTTCTGATGTCCTATGCATCCTGCTATTTAATGGATAACTTGAAAGTGAATGGAAACAGTTGTTATCCGCTACCAGGACATAGCAAAGAATTCAACCAGGATTGATGCCAATATGAACATAGACAATATTGAAACTATCCAGGGATGGATATATCCAAGAAGGATAAAGCTAGGAATGGAAAAAGACATTAAATTTAGTAAATGATATGAAAAGTTTTCAATCTAGCCAGGGTCGGTTATAACCAGGAATGGATGCAGCAAATTTTGAAAATACCCGTGCTCAGGGATTGGCAAAAAATAAACTAAAAGTAATGGACAGGAGTTGGGGAGGGGGGGGGTGCATAATATGTTTTTAAATCTAAAAAAAATTCAGATTTATAAATTATTCAAACATATTTTGAAAATAGGACTTTTTTTGTTGTTGCCAAATTGGATCCCTTTGGCCAACTTATGTTAGTTAAAACACTTTTCCAGGCTTACAGAAAACAAAAGAAAGAATAATTTGCTTGACAAATGTCACTTTATTATTGCTATAACATTATTTGATGTAACAAATTCATAAGCAAATGAAAACAATAATTAATAAAAGATTGAAATTTATTTTTTGGAGTTAGGTCCCTTTGAACATGATGTCCAAAAAAAAAAGTTAAGCCAATTTTTTATTTTTTTTTGTGTGTGCACAAATGAATGTGCTTTAAAAAGAACTCCATGTTTTGCCATTGAAAAACAAAAGATTTAAATTGAAACATGTTACATGTGCTGAACATCTTTTCTCAAAGCAAAAATGAATAGTAGTGGCTTTTAGTGAAATGATAAATGGATTACATGTTAACTTCACAAAGTTCGTGCAAACATTCTTGGAGCAGTGAGTTTGTGCAAGGTCAATTTAAAGTGTTTCAAGTATTACATTTTAAAAACTATTCACTTATAACATTAATTACCCAAATAAAATTGGTTACTTTATAAAACTTAAATTTAATCAAGATGAATAGTAAACAATTCTTAAAACTATTTTTTTAATGGATCCCATTGTAATCTTAAGAATCTAAAATTTAAATATAAATCATTTCAACATGAGAACTTAAATTATTTATATATTTATAAGTTAATTCTCTTTGGAGTTAAGTTATGTATTTCTATCAAATGAAATCAACATCACATTTCTATCAAAGGAAATCAACATCTGAATTCAACATTACAGAAAGCGCCATTTTAAAACAAATGCTCTTTAACTAGCAAAATGTTGAACAAAGCCTAATTGATAATTGCAGACATTTAAAACATAATGATGGGAAGTGTGAAATTAATTTTTTTTTTTAAACCAAAAGATTAGGCATTAACTTTTGGTGTGAAGCCAATATACTCATCCCATCCCTTGAGGCAAGTCTTAATGATCCAGTTATGTTCATCTTCATCTGAAATAGACAAGAGAGGATTGAACCAGTATGGAACCTTGTTGCTTGTTGAACCGGTATGAAACCTTGTTGCTTATGAGATGTGAAAAACTGCATGTATTATACAGTAGACACATTTAAAGACCTAAGCTTGAATTAGGGTTTGGAAAAATGAATCTATGGGAAGGATGGCCACAGGCAGTCATTTATATTCAGCTTATGGAAACAGTACACCATCATTGAATCAGACCTGTATCCTTCCAAAAGTAAGGTAACAGCCATTTATTGTTCTAAAAGTAAGGTAACAGCCATTTATTGTTCCAAAAGTAAGTTAACAGCCATTCATTGTTCCAAAAGTAAGGTAACAGCCATTTATTGTTCCAAAAGTAAGGTAACAGCCATTCATTGTTCCAAAAGTAAGGTAACAGCCATTTATTGTTCTAAAAGTAAGGTAACAGCCATTTATTGTTCCAAAAGTAAGGTAACAGTCATTTATTGTTCTAAAAGTAAGTTACACCCATTTATTTTTCTAAAAGTTCCTGGAAATGCCAAGTATTAGTCCACCCAGCGCAAAAAGTGACACTGCAAAAAAACGATGTTAAAAAAAAGTCATCTGTAATAATGTGTTACACTCAATGGCAATAAGTGAAAAGTTCATGTATAGAATCAGTACATCCTTTGTCATAAGCTTTTGTACATTTTACCTGAATTAAATAAATAATACTAGAAAACTGACAAGCCATTGGTGCAAAATTAAATGTAAGCTTAATGAAACTGCTAAGCTCTGAACATAATAATATACTTGATGAGAATTTAATTATTTCTCTCAGCGAGACATATCTTTGGTTATGACCATGGCAGTTTCTATTTAAAATGAACATTTCACTTCACAAGCTGACTGGCGGATTGATGAGCCAAAGTGTGTGTGTGTGTTTGTGTGCACTTGGGTGCGTGCATGCGTGCATTCTAAGTCAGTCTATAAGTGACGCAATAGTCTTAACTGATGGAAGGCCAGGATGGTATCGCCATGATGATGACAAAATGATATTAAAATAATAAATTGATATCAGAAAACTGCTCTAAACCAGTGACCAGGGGCACTAACTCCCCATGTGCCAGTGACCAGGGGCACTAACTACCCACGTACCAGTGACCAGCGGCACTAACTCCCCATGTACCAATGACCAGCAGCACTAACTCCCCATGTACCAGTGACCAGCGGCACTAACTCCCCACGTACCAGTGACCAGGGGCACTAACTCCCCACGTACCAGTGTACCAGTGACCAGCAGCACTAACTCCCCACGTACCAGTGTACCAGTGACCAGCAGCACTAACTCCCCACGTACCAGTGTACCAGTGACCAGCAGCACTAACTCCCCACGTACCAGTGTACCAGTGACCAGGGGCACTAACTCCCCATGTACCAGTGACCAGCGGCACTACCTCCCCATGTACCAGTGTACCAGTGACCAGGGGCACTAAGTACCCGCGTACCAGTGACCAGCAGCACTAACTCCCCACGTACCAGTGTACCAGTGACCAGGGGCACTAACTCCCCATGTACCAGTGACCAGCAGCACTAACTCCCCATGTACCAGTGTACCAGTGACCAGGGGCACTAACTCCCCACGTACCAGTGTACCAGTGACCAGCGGCACTAACTCCCCACGTACCAGTGTACCAGTGACCAGGGGCACTAACTCCCCACGTACCAGTGTACCAGTGACCAGGGGCACTAACTCCCCACGTACCAGTGTACCAGTGACCAGGGGCACTAACTCCCCACGTTTGATTTTGTTATGTTTATGGAAATTTGAGGAGGGTTTTTTTTGTAAATGTGTTTTTTTTTCATTATAAAATTTAAATATTACTTATAGTGATCAGACTAGTTTCCTATTGCTACAAAATTACAACAACATTAAAATAACAACTATAATTCATTCGGCAGAGGTCAGAAGCTAATTGATATAAAT